TCCGCAACACTGTCACATGTTGTCTAGACTTCTGGCGCGCATGCAGTCTGGCTTTGGTCCGAATTTAACCTCCGACGAGGCGTCGAGTTATGGCCTTGTGACGCTGTCTCAAGGCTTCGATTGTCGCTTTACTGAGCAACCGCGCAAGAGGACTCAAATGCAGCTGGCTGACTCAGGCACCCGTGACACGGCTGAGACTCAAGAAATCTGAAGCAGCGGACGCTGCTTCTCACACAAGATCGCACAGCAACCTTGAGCAGAACTCTAAAGCTGAGTGCACAAGTCCAAAAATGTGCCAAACGAGAAGGCCGAAATCCTCGAGAACCCGATCCTTCCCAGACATCCGGCCCGCTCCAATTTTTCGATGCGCGGGACCCGAAGTCTGGACCACTTCCCCAGGGCTGGTGTTCTGTCCTGACTCGTTGCTTGACGGTCCCGAGGCCCGGCGAGGGCCCCTGGAATCCGAACATGGCCAGAAACCGGCCGCTCCAATTTTTTGGAACGTCGGATCTAGGGGGAAAACAAACCTACCTCGTTTTTGACCACCCTCGCTTCCAAGAGATACCAAACGATGCCAAATTGCAGCCTGTACTGGTCAGGCCGCTTGACGAGGAGGCGCGTGGTATGGCTTGGTTTTGCCTGGAAGCGAAAGCGGGGTAGGTAATTCACGCTCTGAGGATCTCTGGGTTGCGAGCGCCAGTAGGATCACATGCGCGGGGTCCAGACTCTGAGCCCCGGGCTTGGGCCTCACGGGCAGCCCACGGCCTGTCTCCCGGACGGGTTGCAGTGGGCAAGGCCCGGGCAGGTCCGAGGCGGCCGCCAGGACCCAGCGATTCACGCCTTCGACCAGGTGAACGACCAACGGATCCCGACAGGCCACGCGCAGGGAGGCTCGCAAGCGAAGACCTACCGAGGCACACGTGGGCAAGCGCCCCTCGGCCCACGAGCCCGCGAGGCCTGAGACCACGCAACCTTCGGTCATCGATGCCTGTAGCCGCCTACGTAAACCCAAACCCCGCCGTCGCGGTCAGAGACCCCCTCCTCCTCCTCCTCCGCCTCCTCCTCCTCCTCCTCCTCCTCCTCCTCCTCCTCCTCCTCCTCCTCCTCGGCTCATCCTCGGCTCCTCCTCCGCCTCCTCTTCCGCCTCCTCCTCCTCCTGATGGCGCCGCTCACCTGAGCCCATGCTTCGCGCAGCTTCAGCACCATGGCTGCGACGAGGTCTGCTTTCAGAAAAGCGCCCGTTCTGCTCTGAAGCTCGCCTGGCCGAACCGCCATTGGCCGTTGGCCTCGGCGCCTCAACGCCTGGCCCCCACCGACCCGTCAGTCTCGGAGAAGGACAAACGCTCGTTCAGGCGAGACACTGCAGCTAGATAGCACCACCTCTAAGGGATCCAACGTCAGCGGTGCAAGCGGATCAAGCACCTGCCTGTCCTCCTGACCCCCAGAAAGCACCTCAACGCATGGAGGGAGCTGCTCAACGAAATCCGAAGGCTCCCATCTTCGGGTCGCTCCTCCTTCGCCCCGCCTGGCAGGACCCAAAAAGGCTTCCACTGCTGAAGGATGGCTTCGAGAGCCTGCCATCCCGCCATCGGCAGCCCAGAGGCCCCACACTCGGCCGACGCGGACATTTGAAACAGAACCGTAGCATTCACGCACCGAAAGGCGGCAGAGCCACCCTGCTGACCGGCTGCCTTCTGAGCCCGAGCCCGCCGGGCCTGAGCCGCCTCCTCCCGAGCGGCTCGCTGCAAGCTCTCGAGATGAGCCTTCGAGGCTCCAAGCAGACAGCTTACATCCTGAGTGTCCTGAGACAGGCAGGTCCGAGCTGGACAGAATCGCAAGATCGGCTCGGACCGGAAACGGATCGGACCGCCAGCGAATCGAACCGAGCTCGGATCGCCGCGCCTGGCTCCGGAAAGGCCCCGGCCGATGCTGGTGAACCGAGACGAATCGGAAGCGCGCCCCCGGCCCGCGAGTCGAGCCGCATCGAGTCGGATCGTGGGCGGCCGCCGGGAAGAGGAGGGGAGGAGGTCGGGCAGGCCCGCCCGCGAGACGCCGGCCCACGGCAGGAGGGGCGCGGCCGCGGGCCGAGCTCCGCCCTCGGAGCTCCGGCGCCCTGCTGGCGTCTCGACGCCGCGAGGATGGGGCGCGGGTCGGGCACACGGGCGCAGGGCCGCCGCGCAGGGCCGCCGCGCCGGGCCTGGCCCGTCTGCGATGCTCGGCGCGGGGTGCGCCGCCTGAGGGGGCGGTCCCACGCCGATGGAAGGCGAGGAGGAGAACAGCTGCATGAGCATGAACTTTTGGTGCTCCGCGCTGAGTTCTTGGATCTGCGCTGGACCACCCTCCCTGGCGCGCGGAGCGCGCCAGGGGCGGCGCTGGAGGCGCCGCTGGGGGGGGCCCAGCGCGGATCCAAGAAATCCGCGGGGAGCGCCAAACATGTATATTTATGCAAGTGTTTCTCCTTCGAGCCGTGGCGAACAACTGAGCATCTGCCTTGAGACTGCTGAGAAGTCTCGGGGCTGAGGGGATGAAGTCTCGGGGCTGAGGGGATGCCTCGACAGGTCGCCACGGCCATACGGCGTCCCCCAGCAGCCCAGCTCCGAGTCCACGTCCTTGTGCTACGGGCGACCTGGGAGCTTGAGCCCCCCAGGCTACCCCCCGAGCGCCCATGGGGCTGCTCGAGTCTCGGGGTTGAGGGGCTGCCTCGACGGGTCGCCGTGGCAAGCCAGCAGCCCACGGCAGCCCCTCGTGAAGGACATCTCGTAGTGGCGCTTGGCTACCCGCGCCTGGGACGCTTGGCAAACAAGCCCAGGGTCTCGAGAAGCCCCTTGCACTTGTCGGCGCCTCGGACATCGCACCCAGCCTTCGAGAAGGTCTCCTTGATATCTGCATGAGTTGGATCGGCCTCGTCTTACACTGGTACCGGCAGGGGGAGGAAGAGGAGGAGTAGGAGGAGGAAAAGGAGGACGAGGAGGATGAGGAGGAGGCGGAGGAGGAGGATAAGACACATTTTAAACATATCACCCTCATCCTCCTCGCTGAGCGGGAAGGGAGTTGTGCGACGCATTTTCCCTTGAGGGAGGGAATGCGAATCTCTGGAGTCTCCGCCTGATCACGTAATGGTATTGTAGGAGCCTCTCGGAGCCTCGGAACCCAGGATCCCCTAGGCAGGTCTCGAATGCCTCCTGGTATCCAGAAGGGCCTTCTGGTTCTCCGTGAAACATTCGGTGGTTCAAAGATGGGGTCCTGAGGGATGGGGTCAGAAGGACGAAGTGTCTCAAACAATCTAAATGCGCCCTTGGATCCCTTCCTATTCTAAGGACTCCATTCCTCCGGACCCCATCTTTGAACCATCGAATTGTCCTGGGAGCATCAGGGACCCCCCCGCTGCCCCACGGGGCTAAACTGGCAGGCGGAGGGGGAAATCCGGGAGGAGGGGCCGAAGGAGAAACAAGAGAGGGGCCGGGGGGGCGGGGGGCAGTGGGAGAAACCGAAGCAGAAACGTGATCAGGGGAAGGAGTGGGTGGAGAGTTATTCAATACTGGGTCTCCAGACGTCCCGACACATTCCCCAGGACTGGTTTTTAATCCCGAGCCGTTGTTTGACTGTCCCGGGGTGAGGCCGAAAACAGCCGATGACCTACTGGTGTGATATTGGTCACGATGAAAGTATTTCGGGGGACGAGGCAGAGGGATGCGGCGAGGGCGAGGAGGGCGGCGGCGAAGAGGGCGGCGAAAGGGGGGGATGATGGGGAGAACCCGAAGCAGAGACGCGATCAGGGGAAGGAGTTGGTGGAGGAGAAGACCGAACGAAATGCCCTTCAAGAACATGAGACCCTCCGTCGGCCCAAACAAACAAAGCATCCAAGGGTCCATTTCCCAGGATGCACGAGAACATCCAACAGACACGAAGAACACTGGGGCACCCTCCCCGAACCGACCTAAGACAGAAGAACACCCCTCAAGAACAGAAGGCCCTCCCCCAGCCAAAACAAAGAGATCATCTGCGGGGTCACCCTCCCCAGGATGCCCAAGAACATCCAACAAACGCACCCTCCCCGAACCGACTTCGATCTCACACCTCCGTCCGACGGCAGAGAAGGCCGAGGATGCGACGAGGGCGGGAAACGCGGCGCGGGAGCGCGGCCAGAAGTTCCGCGCGGGGAACCCCCACGGCGGCGCCTCCGACGCCACCCCTGGCGCGCTCCGCGCACAAGGGAGGGGGGGGTCCAAGAAATCCGCGCGGATCCAAGGAATCCGCGCGGAGTGCCAAAAGTTGTTTGTTTATAGCGTCTTTCTGCTTCTTCTTCTTCTTCTTCTGCTTCTGCTTCTTCTTCTTCTTCGAACACTGGGGCACCCTCCCCGAACCGACCTCGATCCCATGCCTCGGCCCGACGGCAGGAGAGGGCCGAGGATGCGACGAGGGCGGGGTGCGCGGCGCGGGAGCACGGCGGCGGGGCGACGCGCCGCTGCCGGCCCCCGCGGGGTGCTCTCCTCCCCGTCGCTGTCCCACTGGTTCTTGTCGTTCGGGTCCTGCCTGTCGTAGAGGCCACCGCCCCGGCCCTGCCGCGCCGGCGCTGTTTTTTTTCGTCCGGGCCCACCCGCCGCCCTCCCTCCCCTCCTGCGTCTCCCTCCTCTGCCCTGCGTTCCGCCTCGTGCCCTCCCTCCTCGAAGCTCCGCCTCGTTGTCATTGTCCTCCTCCTCCAGTTCCTCCTCTTCCTCCCCCTCGGCTCTTCATCCACATCCTCCCCCTTCCTCATCATGCTCTTCCTCCCCTTCCTCATCGTGCTTCTCGTCTTCATAATATTCTCCTTAATCAACAGCAGTTCGAAAGCAGTATCACCCACAGCATATTACCAACAACATAACAATCATGAGGATCAGCATCAGCATCAACAGCACCATCATCAGCAGCAGCAGCATAAACATCATCAGCATCATCATCAGCATCACCAGCATCAGAATCGTGAACATCATCACCACCACCATCATCATCACCATCAGCAGCAGCCCGTGCACGGAGGTGACGCCCTCCGCACACGCCCCCAAGCGCGCGGCTACGCGAGAGGCAGCATGGGATAAATGGACATGAGGGGCAAGGATATGAGGGGACTGGCATGCGGGGGGGAGGGGACATCGACCCGGAATCGACGATACATCGCCAGTCGATCAGCGATAGGCCCCCAATGGCGAGTCCGCGCGTTCCTGGGCGGGTTGGGGGTATCGGGCCCCTGTCGGCGATGAATGGGCGACTGGGGGTCAATACATCCCCCCTGAGCCTATCCTCCTCGAATTGTTGCCTCTGAGGACACCAGACAGGAGGAAAGGCCTCCACCCGTATCGGCATCTTTCCTCCTCTTGGCGGGGCGTACTGGGGGGTATGGGGGAGGGGGGAAGGCTTCTTGGAAGAAGGCTGTTTCTCAAAAGGCGCCAGCCCTACATCTATAGATAAGGCCCGCGCCCTCTGAGAAGCAGGGGTGCTTCTGAGATGCCCGCTCCCTACCCTTAGGTCGGGCATGTCCCCCTACAGGAGGATTTTGGACGAAAAATTAAACAATATCAAAAACATAATCGAAAAATCGTTCCCATACTATTTGTTGTCGGAAATTCCCTCCCGCTACGCGTGGACCATCCTCTGAGCGGGGGTTGCTCTAGAAGGTGCTCCTGCCCCAAGGTGCGCAGCTCTTCGCTCCAGGCTGGCACTCCCGCGGCCCTCTGGCCCTCGTGAGGGGTGCTCTGGAGGCCTTGGTGGCCTCCCTGGAAATCCTGGGGGCACTTTGGGCCAGAGGCACTTCAGCAACACCCGAGCGTTTGCGCTTCTCTGCCGCCCGCAGGCTGTCTCCACAGTGACCCTGGAGGAGGAGGAGGAGGAGGAGGAGGAGGAGGAGGAGGAGGAGGAGGAGGAGGAGGAGGAGGAGGAGGAGCAGGAGGGGGAGTAGGAGGGGAGGAGGAGAGGACGAGGAGGAGGAGGAGGAGAAGGAGGAGGAGGAGGACGAGGAGGAGGAGGAGAAGGAGGAGGAGGAGGGGGAGGAGGAGGAGGATGAGGAGATAGAGGAGGAAAATGAGGAGAAGGAGGAGGAGGAGGAGGCGGCGGGAGGAGGAGGAGGAGGAGGAGGAGGGGGGGGACCCGAGCCGGCGCGGCCCCCTCCGCCGCCGTGGGCGACGTGGCGGCCACCGGCGCGGGGCCTGCCGCTCCCACCAGGCTTCCGCCGCTTCGACGGCGCCGCGGGGGTGCGCGACAGCGCGCGCGGAGGCGGGAGGCGGCGCTGGGCGGCTTTGGCTGGGCGCCTCGTCGGCAGCCCTGAGCCTCTTCTCCTCCTCCATCATCGCCTGCATCTCCTGGGCGGGCGGCCCGGCGTTCCGCGCCGTGTGCCTCCGACCTGCCCCCGTGTGCCCAGGCCACCTCCATGCTCATCCCTCTGCCTCGTCCTGCTCCTGCTCCTCTCCTCCTCCTCCTCCTCCTCCTCCTCCTCCTCTCATCATCATCATCATCATCATCATCATCATCATCATCATCATCATCATCATCATCATCATCATCATCATCATATCATCATCATCATCGCCAACACCACCACCACCACCACCACCATCATCATCATCATCATCATCATCATCATCATCATCATCATCATCATCATCAGCATCATCGTCATCATCATCATCATTGTCATCATCATCATCATCATCATCATCATCATCATCATCATCATCATCATCATCATAATCATCATCATCAGCATCAGCATCATCATCATCGTCATCATCATCGTCAGAATCAGTGTCATCATCATCATCAACAACAGCATCAGCATCATAATCATCATAGCCACCATCAGCATCAGCTTCAGCATCATCAACCGCATCATCATCACCATCAGTATCATCATCATCATCAGCATCATCATTATCACCATCATCATCATCATCGCCAGCATCATCATCATCATCATCATCATCATCATCTTGATCACCATCACCATCACCATCATTCATCATCATCAGCATCAGCATCATCATCAGCATCATCATATTCATCAACATCATCCTCATCAGCAGCAGCAGCATTATCATCAGCATCAGCAACAGCATCCTCAATATCATAAATATCGTCGTCATCCTCATCATCATCATCATCATCACCACCATGACCATCACCATCACCACCATTATCATCATCATACTCGTCATCGTCAGCATGGCCATATTCATCGTTATCGTCGTCTTCAGCATCAGTATCATCGTCATCATCATCACCATGAGTAGCATCAGCATCATCATCAGCATCAGCATCATCATGATCAGAATAATCAGCATCGCCATCATCATCAGCAGCAGCATCATCAGCATCATCATCAGCATCATCACCAGCAGCATCATCACAATCAGCATCAGCATCAGCATCATCATCAGCATCGTCATCATCAGCATCGTCATCAGCATTAGCATCAGCATCATCAGCATCATCATCATCATCATCATCAGCATCATCATCCCTTGGCTTACCTCCTCCTCCTCCTCCACCTCGTGACCCGCTCCTCTCCTCCTCTCCCGTAATCTCTTACTCCACCTCCTATTTCGCCTCCCCCTCCTCCTCCTTCTCATCCTCCTCCTCCTCCTCCTCGTAACAATCCTCATCCTCATTATGATCCTCATCCTCATCCTCGTTATCCTCCGTCCCCTTCACCTTATTCTCCTCCTCCTCCTCCTCCTACTCCTTCTTCTTCGACTCCTCCCCCTCTGATCTACCTCTTGTCCACTCTAACTCACCCAGAGTCATCTTAATACTTATGTCTGAATACATACATGTGCATATATATATGTGCATATATAATGTACATATGTTTGGATACATGTATAGTTGAATAAACCTGTATATATACACATATACATAAGCACCTCTCTCTCTCTCGAAGGGTAGCGATGTCAACATCTTTCCTCGGGAGGGCCACAAAGCATGAACTGTCGACAGTCCGCGGGCACCACCCTCCCTGGAACACGGAGCGCGCGTGGTGCGGCACCGAGGGCGGCCCCAGAGCGCCGCCAGGGGGGGCCAAGGTCGATCCAAGACATCCGCGCGGACCTCCGAGAATCATGATGATGCGTTGTGTGGTGTCCGGACCTCCTCGTAAGGCGCCCGACTCCGACTGAGCTTTAGGACGTGCGCGGCAAGGATGGCGAGGACACATGTCCTGAGGATGTCGAGGCGGATCCAGCCGTGGCGACGACAAGCCCCCAAGAGGCCCCGACAAGACGAATCAACGTCCAGCTGCACTCGAACCTCGAAGTTCGCGGGTAGCGGGCCCGTGGGCTCCTCCTCAACCCCTTCCTCCGCGTCCTCCCTCCTCCCTCCTCCATCCTCCCCCCTCCCTCATCCCTCCTCCCTCCTCCTCCCTCCTCCCTCCTCCTCTTTCCTCCTTCCTCCTCTCCTCCTCCTCCCCCTCTGGATACGCATCATCGTCCGGCAAGCACGAAGCAAACCTGCACACGGGCACGAAGTTCGGTAGCAACGCATCGGAGCATCCCATGCTATCGTGCTGCCTCTTGCCAATCGACGCGAGCCGGCACCAATCGACGATCAATCGTTGCTGATCGACGCGAAATCGGCGCGCTCTCATCGGCTACTACGCGCTATCGTACAAGAATCACAATTAAGTCGGGCATGTCCTCCTACAGGCAAATGTTGGACGAAAACTTGAAATACTCAAAACTACACAAACATCGTCAAACACATGTTTTAGCAGAAGTCGTCCCCAGACCATTTTTTATATCATTTTTGAATTTTCGCCCTGTAGAGGCACACGCCCGACCGAAAATTACGAGTACCGAGACAGAGGAACCTGCACCCCGTCGGGCGTCAACTGATCGCAAGAGGACCTCCTCCTCCTCCGTCCTCCTCCTCTTCAGGACCTCCTGCCTCCATTAGACTTCCTGCCATTCCTGAGGCGCAATCTGGCAAAAATCTCATGCCAGGCCCAGCCGAGGAGACCCGCGGCCCCCCCGGAGCCGAGGCCGCCGAAGGTCGCCGAAAGGCCTCCGAAGGTCCCAAAAAGGTCGCCCAATGCCGCCGGAGGCCGCCGAAGGTCGCCAAGGCCGCCGAAGGCCGCCGAGACCGCCGTGACTGAGGGCCTCCTCCACCTCATCGCCCTCCTCCTCCTCCTCTCCTCCTCCTCCTCCTCCTCCTCCTCCTCCTTCCTCCTCCTCCTCCTCCTCTCCTCCTCCCCCTCCCTCACCGCCTCCTCCTCTCCTCTCCTCCCTCCTCCTCCTGCTCCTCCTGCTCCTCCTCCTCCCTCCTCCTACTCCTCCTCCTCCCTCCTCCTCCTCCTCCTCCTCCTCCTCATCATCATCATCATCATCATCATCAGCATCCTCATCATCATCGTCATCAGCATCATCATCATCAGCATCACATCACAGCATCCTCAGAATCATCACCACGACCATCATCATTCATCATCATCAGCATCATCAGCATCAGCATCAGCATCAGCATCAGCATCATCAGCATCAGATCATCATCATCATCATCATCATCATCATCTCATCATCATCATCATCATCATCATCATCATCCATCATCATCATCATCATCATCATCATCATCATCATCAGCATCATCATCATCATCATATCATCATCTCATCATCATCATCCTCATCCTCATCCTCATCCTCATCCTCATCCTCATCCTCATCCTCATCCTCATCCTCATCTCATCCTCATCCTCATCCTCATCATCAGCATCACATCACATCCATCAGCATCATCATCATCATCATCATCATCATCATCATCATCATCATCATCATCATCATCATCATCATCATCATCATCATCATCATCATCATCATCATCATCATTATCATCATCATCAGCAGCAGCAGCAGCAGCATCAGCGCATCATCATCATCAGCATCAGCATTAGCATCATCAGCATCATCGTCATCATCATCAAAATCATCATCATCATCGTCATCAGCATCACCAACAACCTCATCAGCATCACTATCGTCACCATCATCATCGTCATCAGCAGCAGCATCATCACCATCAGCATCATCATCAGCATCATCATCAGCATCACCATTCGCATATGCAGCATCGATATCAACTTCACCATCAGCAGCAGCAGCCTCGGCATCAGCATCGTCATCATCATCAACATCACCATTGTCGTCGTCATCATCGTCAGATTATGATCATCATCATCCATCAGCATCTGCATCATCATCAGCATCATCATCATCATCATCATCATCATCATCATCGCCAGCATCGCCATCATCACCATCATCGCCATCATCATCAGCTGCAGCATCATCAACGTCATCATCAACACCGTCATCATCGGCGCCATCATCATCATCACCATCATCATCATCATCATCATCAGCCTCATCCTCATTAATAGCATGGTCAGCAGCACTATCATTACCATCGTGGTCATCATAATGAGCATAGCCGGCATCAACAACAACCTGATCGTCGGCAGCGTCAGCATCATCAAATCATAACCAGCATCGTCATGATCATCATGATCATCAGCATCCTCATCATCATTATCATCATCGTAATCATGACCATCACCACCATCACCACTATCATCATCATCCCCATCCTAAGCCTCACCAGAATCACGTCAATCATCATCGTCTTCACCACCGTCAACATCATCAGCATCTTCAACACCATCAACAACATCAGTCATCATCGTCATCAACCATCATCCGCACCATCATCATCGTCATCATCATATCGACATGAGCTCAAGCATCAGTCCCAACACCAAAAACATCTGCATGCCACGATCAGCATGATCATCGGAATAGTTGTTGCCGCTGTTGTTACCATCGGCATCATCAACCGGCATCATCAGCAGCACAATCGCCATCATCATTGTTAACATCATTCTGATCAGCATCAGCATCATCACCTCAATGTCGTCATGGTCGTCCTTCTCATCATCAGCAACAACGTGATCGACACCATCAACAGTCGTCGTCGTGACCTCATCCTGATCCTCACTGTCGTCCTCGTCCTGCTGCTTCCCTCCCCCCCCATTCCACCCCTCCTCATCGGGGCGCCCCCGCCGAGGCGCCGTCGCCTCGGACGGGTTCTTGCACTGACTGCAATAGAACGCGCCGGCCACGTTGTGGGTGCTGCACTTGGGGCAGTCCCACGGGCCTGGGTGCGAAAGGAAAGGCGGCAACGGACAACCGCTGAGTGAGGACGGCGAGAGCAGCAGGGGGACATGACAAGAGGACGCGGCAGCGACAGACCCCCTGCGTCGGGTGCCTGCTCACGTCGGCCTGCCAAACCATTGTGAACCAGTGTTGGGACCGATTGCAAAGAATCCTCCTCGTCCTGCTCCTCCTCCCTTTCCATCCAACTTTCCTCCTCCTCGTCCATCTCTATCTTCGTACCACGCTAGTTCCCTCCTCTTCCTCCCCCGAAAACGTCCTTCTCCTATTCCTCCTAGTCCTAATTACCATTCCACCTCCCAATACCCTCGTTCATTTCTCCTTCTCGTCTGTCCCTTTCCTCCTATCTCCTCCTCCTCCTCCTCCTCCTTCTCCTCCTCCTCCAACTCGTTATACTTATCATCGTCGTCAGCACCCTCATCATCATCATCATCATCATCATCATCATCATCAACATCAACATCATCATCATCATCAGCATCATCATCATCAGCATCATCAGCATATCACCATGATCATCATGATCATCACCAACATCATCATCATCACCATCATCATCATCAGCATCGCCAACGTCATCGTCACTCTCATCATCCACATCCTCATCACCATCGCCACCACCACCACCACCACCATCACCACCACCACCACCATCATCATCATCGTCAGCATGATCATCGTCAGCATCATCGTCACTCGCATCATCATCAGTATCACCATCCTCGTCACCACAATCAGAATCATCATCCTGACAATCATCGTCATATTAAACACCCTCATCATATCAACCTCGCCATCAGCATCATACCATAATCGGCATGGGCATCGGCATCAACCTCATCATCACACTCACCACCCCATCGCCGTCATCATCAGCATCACCCTCATCATCCAAACCACCACCATCATCATCACCATCATCATCAGCAGCAGAAGCAACATCACCATCAGCAGCATCATCATGACACCGGAGAAAAAACCCAATATGATTGTTGTTGGGGATATGGGGCTGTAGGGCTATAAAGCTATCAGGTTATGAGTCTATAGGGCTATAGGGCTATAGGGCTATTGGGCTATTGGGCTATAAGGATATAGGGCTATAAGGCTGTCGAGCTATAGGGTTATAGGGCTATAAGGCTATGGGGCTATCGGGCTCTAGGGCTACAGGGCTGTAGGGCTAGAGGGCTATAGGGCTATGGGGCTATAGAACAATAGGGCTATTGGGCTATATGCTATTGGGCTCTTGGGCACCCCGGGCACCCGGGCACCCGGGCCCGGGCCCGGCCACCGAAATCGGCGACCAACCTCACTGGCCACCCGGGCACCCGGGCACCGCCGGGCACCCGGGCACCCGGGCACCCGGGCCCGGCCACCGAAATCGGCGACCCACCTCACCCAAACCTTTAATACGCTAGGAACCCTACAGAAGCAAGCTCTGATTGGGGAAATACCGTTGTCATCACCATCATTCTCGTTATCATAATGACAAACGAAATCCTCATCAATATCACTATCACCATCACAATAATCTGCAGCACCATCGTCATCATCAACATCAGCATCATTAGCAGCATCAACATCATCAGCATCAGCATCAGCCGCATCATACTTTTGATCACTAGTATAATAGGCATGACCAACATCAACATCAATATCATGTCGATGATATCTGGTGCCGTGGACTTCAGCATAATCGGCAACAGCAGCGCCGACATCATCAACATCACCAAACTCATTAGCAGCATCACCGGAAACAACATCGCCAACATCATCATATGTATCATAATCAACCCCACGATCATCATCATACTCCGTTTCATCAACAGAAACGCCGTCGCCATCAGCATCCGCGTCACCACCACCAGCCGTTTCATCATCAGAAGCATCCCCATCATCATCAGTCGCATCACACTCGCCATTTCAAACATCATCCCAATCACCAGCATCATCGTTACAGTCACCATCATCGTTGTCACCACCATCGCCATCGCCAGTTTCATCGTCATCGCCATCACCATCGCGCTACGAGCATGATTGGCATCACCCCCACATCATCAAGACAATCGTTGTCTTCGCCTGCCCAGCATCATCGCCACCACCAGCGGCACCAATACCACCGGCAAGAGCAGCATCCTAAAGCAGCACTATCTTCAATGGCATCAGCATCATGTTCACCACCATCACGTATCCCTCTCTTGACGTCGTCCTCACTCACCTCCACCTCCCATCCCCCAATCCTCCCTCCCCCTCCTCCTCCTCCTCCTCCTCCTTCTCCTCCTGCTCCTCCTCTTCCTCCTGATTTTCTGATTTCTTCACGGCATTGCGGTGTCCTCCGAACGCTGCCGCTTCCCCCAGGGCTGGCCAAACACCAGATCTGGGGGGGCGAACAAAATAGTACAAAGAGAAGTCAAAGTAGACATGCACGGAGGAGGAGGGAGGAAGGAGTGCTCATCACACCGATCGAAACCGAATGAGAAAGGGAAACAGAGAGGAGCTGGCGGCTAAAGTGCAATGGCGCAGCAGCAAGCCCGTGGCGTGGATGTGCGCAAAAGCGGACGGGGTCCCTGGGGGCCAGTTCGGGGCCCAGTCGGCAAGTTCAACGCCGTCCTTCACGGCCTTTCCTTTCCCATTGTGGTTGCTGCCCTTGTCGTTGCGGCCGCTGCTGTTGCAGCTGCAGTTGTGACCCACGCTCATGTCGGGGTGCTCCCTTAATCCACAGGTCCGTCAAAACATGGCTTTTCCATCTTGCGAGCCCCGCTCCAATGGCCGGCCTCCTGGATATTGCCAGAAATGGGGTGCTTCGAGGGCGGTTAGATGTTGACCTCCAGGGTGGTGTCGCCGATCCAGATCTGCCCGCGGCTGCATTCCAGGCGACATGGTTGGCACTTGATGGGGGTGTCGCGGTGACTGTTGCGCGCTGTAGTGATGGTCGAGGAGAGAATGCTGCTGTTGTTCGTCCAGCAACGATCGCGCTGATGCTACGCGTAAGAGAATGCGTGACACTGCTGCATGTGAAAGCTTCCTGCGGTGCCAGACAGTTTCCGAAGGTGCCGTCGCCGTTGAAAGCGTGGGGTAATGCGAGTGCAACATGCACACAGCGTAACGCAAGATCCTACTTCTCCTCCTCCTACTCCTATCCTCCTCCTCCATCTCCTCCTCCTCTTTACACTGATGTGGTAAGTCCTCCTTCTCGTATCATTCCTCATGTTCCTCCTCTTCCTCCACCTCCGCTTCCTCCTCATATCCTTCCTCCTCCCGAGGAGCAAGGGCCGGAGGATGAACAGAAAAGGGGGGGAAGCGGGAGGAGGGGGAGGAGGAGGAGGAGGAGGAGGGGGAGGAGGGGAAGGAGGAGGAGGAGGATGAGGAGGGAGGAGGAGGAGAGGGAGGAGAGGAGGAGAAGGAAGGGAGAAGAAAGAGGAGGAGGAGTAGGAGGAGGAGGACAAGGAGGAGGAAAACGAGGATGAGGAGGAGGAGGAGAACTGGGGCTCAAACGCCCAAGCCATGATTCATGGCGGGGCAGGTCGGAACAAATGCGTTCCGCCGCCCGCTAATGAGGAGGGGTGGATGAACGGGAGCGAAAGGAGATGCAGCAGCAGGACGTAGATCAAGAGGAAGGAGAAGGAACAGAGGCAGGATGTCGAAGAGCAAGGGGAAGCGCAGCAGCAGGACGAAGGGCAGGACGGAGAGCAAAAGGGTAGCGGGAGAAAGGGGGAGAGGGTGCGAGGAGGAGGAGGAAGAGGACAAGGATGGGAGGAGGGGAGTGTAATCAGCAGCAGCAGCAGAAGCAGCAGTAGGGAGCAGGAGGGAGGAAGAGGGGTGGATCAGGTCTGCTAGGATTCGTCAACAAACTCTCGTGCCACTAGCCCTGAGACTGAAAAGGGGCTCGCAGCAGCAGGGGCAGCAGGAGGAGCAGGCGAGGGAGAGCAGGACGACCAGAAAGGTTCACAAGGAGGCTGAGGAGGCGACGAGGGAGGGTCGGGAGGGGCAGGACGAGGAGAATCGGGGGGAGGGGGAGCGGGAGAGCGGAGGGGAGGAGCAGGAGAGGCGGAGGAGAGGACACAAGGAGGAACGCGGAGTGGGGCGTGAAGAAGCAGAAGGGGCACCGGAGGACGACGACGGCGCGGCGACGCGGCGACGGGCGCGCGCCTTGGTGGTGCTTCTCGCCGTCGCGCCTGGCGCGCCGAGGCTGGCTGTCGCCGCGCCGCCACGGGCTGCCGCAGTCCTCCTCCGCCTGCTCCCCACCCCATGCTGCCCGACGCCCTCCCCGATCCCCCGATCTGCCCCTCCTCTGCTCTGGTCAGGCCTCGGCCTGCGCAGAAAACCGAACTTCAGACATCGGGCGTCATGCAACCTGTCCCGCTGCGTCTCCTCCCCCGGCATAGATCCCCCAGAGAAGCGTCGTGCCACGGCCCTTCACGGTAGCCAACAAAGACCCCATGCGTTCCCCCTCTCGGATAGCATCTCCTTTGAGCTCGCGAGATGCTGTTCCTACTCTCTTCACCGCCCACGCCGACGCCATGAGTTCATGCGTCTCGTGGCACTTGCCGACGTCGGACGCCTCTGGAACATCTCAATACCCCGGAGTCGAACCTGGAGCCGCTCCCTGCGTTCTTCCACACGTCACTCAGCAACGCCTGGCCGCCCTGGGCGATCTTGAACTTCTCGATGGCCGGTCGCCCCCAAGCGGTTCGATCAGCAGGTGCCACCCAGGCCCCGCGCAGGGATCAACTCCATAGACTCCAGACGCTTGGTAGTCAACGTGTTCTCTCTTGGCAATGAGAGTCGGCATACCACCGTCAATCTCGGGAATATCGACTTCTGAGCGCTTGCCATGAGCGCCTACCGGCATCTGCCACGTCGCAATCGCCCCCTTGGCCACACATCCTAGACTTCCAAGTCCAGCGCGCTCGACGGGACCTGGATCGTGTCGAAGCCGTGCTGTGCGAGCCGAGGGTCGGCCTTCGCGGACCGCGTGGTCGCCATGACTCGGTGCGCCCCGCGCCCTTCACCACCGCCACTTCGTCGGGGTCGCCGACGGGCGCGAATCCGTCGGCGCCCGCGAGGTCGATGACCACGTATCTCTGGCCTTCCGCAGCCCGCATGACGCGCCCGAGCGATGTGAACCCGTTGGGATTTGGTCGGGCGCGGTATCCGTGGATCGCCCCTCGAAAAATGCCGGCCGCCTTCCTCACGCCCATGGCAGGTCGCCAGCGCCGCGCCTGCATGTGAGATGGTCTCCTGCTTCTCCTCGAGGGCGCCACGGAGCCCCGCGTCGTCTGCAAGCTCGGCCTCGAGCTCGTTGAAGTCTCCGCCGACGTACTCCTACTCTGGGACCTCTTCGCAAACTTCTCCTGCAAAAGCGGTTCACAACTGCTCGGCTTCGCACCACTGACACTCGTCTTCGTCTATCGCATCAGCCACATGCCCAGACCTGGTCCTGCGAAGGCCACCGCCGCCGCCTCTGACCTGTGGCCGGCGACTCGCGTGCAATCCCTTTTTGAAATTCGCATAGATGTGCTGGTACATGGATCAGAGTCGTGCTGCTGCCCGCGAGCCCAATGACATGGTACTTCTCGGGCTCCGTCGAATCCCACCAGCCCTTTGGGCGTGAGTGGTTTAGAGAGCCCGCTCTGTTCTCAACCCCCTTCTTCCCCTTCGGGGAGGGTTTACCCCTCCCCCTACCCCCTACCCCTGGGCCTGGAGAGGTCGTTTCGCGGGTGGTTGGAGGGGTCTTGTTCGACTCCTGGGAGGGCTAAAATTCGACACCCCTCACGAGGATCGTGGCCCCGACGGGGGGGGGGAGAAAAATGCTCGCCCCATCTGTGATCGATCGCCCGAAAGATGGCCACAAGATACCTCCCAGACCCCTCCCAAAGAGCCCCAAGAGGGCCCTAAGAGCGCCCCGGGAGAGCCCGACCCCTCCCAAAGAGCCCGAAGAGGGCCCTAAGAGCGCCCCGGGAGAGCCCGCAAAGGGCTCCGAGACCTCCAACATATCGCCCAGAAGGCCCTGGTATATCCCCAAGATGTCTCCACATATCGCCAAGAAGGCCCTAGTATATCCCCAAACACTGCGACAACGACACCGACTACGACTTCTACCGCTACTCCCACCGCTACCACCACGACTCCTATTACAACAACAACTACTCATACTTATACCGCTATTGCTACTGCTACTACTACTACTACTACTACTACTACTACTACTACTACTACTACGACTACGACTACTACTACTACTACTACTACTACTACTACGACTACTACTACTACTACTACTACTACTACTACTACTACTACTACTACTAGTAGTACTACACCTCTCACTCATACTACAATCACTTCTTCTTCTTCTACGACCACTACTGCTGCTACTTCTGCTACTACTACTACTACTACTACTACTACTACTACTACTACTACTACTACTACTACTACTACTACTACTACTACCACTACTAATCCCACCAGCCCTTTGGGCGTGAGTGGTTTAGAGAGCCCGCTCTGTTCTCAACCCGCTTCTTCCCCTGCGGGGAGGGGTTTACCCCTCCCCCTACCCCCTCCCCCTGGGCCTGGAGATGTCCTTCCGCGGGTGGTCGGAGGGGTCTTTTTCGACTCCTGGGAGGGCTAAAATTCGACACCCCTCACGAGGATCGTGGCCCCGACGGGGGGGGGGAGAAAAATGCTCGCCCCATCTGTGATCGATCGCCCGAAAGATGGCCCCAAGATACCTCCCAGACCCCTCCCAAAGAGCCCCAAGAGGGCCCTAAGAGCGCCCCGGGAGAGCCCGCAAAGGGCTCCGAGACCTCCAACATATCGCCCAGAAGGCCCTAGTATATCCCCAAGATGTCTCCACATATCGCCAAGAAGGCCCTAGTATATCCCCAAGCACTGCGACAACGACAACGACTACGACTTCTACCGCTACTCCCACCGCTACCACCACGACTCCTACTACAACAACAACAACAACAACTACTCATACTTCTACCGCTACTGCTACTGCTACTACTACTACTACTACTACTACTACTACTACTACTACTACTACTACTACTACTACTACTACTACTACTACTACTACTACTACTACTACTACTACTACTACTACTACTACTACTACTACTACTACTACTACTACTACTACTACTACTACTACTACTACTACTACTACTACTACTACTACTACTACTACTACTACTACTACTACTACTACTACTACTACTACTACTACTACTACTACTACTACTACTACTACTACTACTACTACTACTACTACTACTACTACTACTACTACTACTACTACACTACTACTACTACTACTACTACTACTACTACTACTACTACTACTACTACTACTACTACTACTACTACTACTACTACTACTACTCTCACTCCTACTACTACTACTACTACTACTACTACTACTACTACTACTACTACTACTACTACTACTACTACTACTACTACTCCTCTCACTCCTACTACTCCTCAGAAATACGCCTGAAAAACACGACTGTCGGCATGCTTCGCTGGAGTTGCTGTTTGGGGATGGGCTGGTGGGGATACGCGAAGCGTGAAGAATTCGAATTCTTCATACAAATGTAACCCATCGTCGCATCGCCTATCCTGCTGTCCGGGTCAGTACGTTGCAGCTCATCCTGGGCGTTCACCAGCTAGCTACAGGTGTATGTCCGTCTTGAACTAAGCGTCATCGAACAGCTTGTTGCATGCTCTCGGAATCTGTTTCAGCGTCGACTCGGGGAATCGTTCAGGGAGCTGCACAAGCAGCTGCTCGACTCCGCCCTCGGCTCGAGACGTCGTCGGGCCGATGTCCCGCACTGCCAGCCTCGCCTCTCCCCACAAGTTGCTCAACAAGCCTGGGCCCGCCAAGACTGCATCGTCTATCTTACGTCCTGTTGCGTAGCCCTTCACCTCTCGCTGATCTTGTTCGAGCCCCTGTAGGCCAGCACATACGTTCCAAGTCGGCACTTTGGGATCCGTATCGCCGAAACTGTCGAAACTCTTCAACTGTGTCAGATGGAGAACACTGATCAGTCCGAGTAGCGACGGATAACAGAATGTCGCTCCCGCGAAAACCAATGCAATGCATGGATCGGTTGGGGCCCCTGGTCCAGTCACCAGATCCCGTCATGCTATCCAAGGGTCGCAGAGCTCTGCTACCACGATCGATAGCCAACTCTGACAATCTAATCGGTAGCGAACGGCTATGCCGTTTGCAGTCAAGCCAAGGGTCCCCAGCTCAAAGCCAAACGTCAATTGATTAGCATGCGCACGCGCTGCTGCCGTCACAATGTACTGTAAAGCTCCGCTTCACAAAAAAACAAAGTATCGACTGATATTTCTCCAAAGGGCCCAAGAGGCCCCGAACGGGTCCCCACGATTCCCCAAGAGGCCCCGAAGGGAACCAAAGGAGGTCCTACGAGGCCCCCGAACCGCCCCCAGGGGTTTCAAAACTGCCTCCAGAGGCCCCATAGACGCCTACCACGAAATCCCAACGAACACCCAAAGGCCTGAACGCCGTGCGTCAAGTTGTGCATGACTGGTACCATCTGAGGCGTACAGAACATATACCTTCAGCTGTACTTGTCTCCTACAGACGGACGGGGGGGCATGAGCTTCTCCAAATGGAATGAACCCTGGGCTTCCTTCAAGATGAGAAACAAATCCTTTACAACAACCGCCCTCGTCTGTCTGGCGGACCGGCCAGAGGTTCAGCATTCAACGGGGGGCGCCCGCAGTGGAAACGAGCACTTGTATGACCTTTTGAAGAATGGGTTACGTATGGGACGGGAAGGTGTATTGCAGCATCGGTTGGTGCATGATAGGTTTACTCTTGTCTTCCTCCTCTTCCTCCTCGTCCTCCTCCTCCTCCTGTTCCTCCTCCTCGTTCCTCCTCGTTCCTCCTCTTCCTCCTCCTCCTCCTCCTCCTCCTCCTCCTCCTCCTCCTCCTCCTATTCCTCCTCCTCCCTCCTCCTCCCTCCTCCCTCGTCGCTCGTTCCTCCTCCATTGTTTTGTTGTTTCCTCCCCCCTCCTCCCTGCTCCTCTTCCCAACGCCCTCCGTGGTGCCTCACTGGCCGCAGGGGCTCTCCTCGTGCGCTTCGCTTGGCCATTTGCCCCGTGGAGTTGTGCACGCCCGCTCCTCTCAGATTGCCCTGCCTATCCATTTCCTTGTCTCTTCGGCACGCTCAGACCCTCAGGTGGCATCCCTCTCCCGACGCCCTGGCAGGACACCCGCGCCGGCAGCCCCAGACCACGTGGCACGACGCCGCAGAGAGCAGGAGAGGGAGCAGAGCGATCGTCGGCGCAGCGGGGGCACCAGTCTTCCAGCGGCCGGTTCGCACCCTGAGGGGAAGGGTCGTCGTCGTCGTCGTCCTCGCCCTCGTCGTCGTCCTCGTCGTCGTCGTACACGTCGTCGTCATCGTCGTCATCGTCGTTTTCGTCGTCGTCTTCCTCTTCCTCCTCCTCCTCCTCACCGTCGCCGTCGCCGTCGGTGTCGCCGCCGCCGTCGTCGGAACAGGAGCATTATGAGGAACTCATGGGAGGTCTTCGCGGTAACGGTCAGGGCCAGAAGGCACTATCTGGGGGGCCGAAACAAACTGGATGAAGCCAAGTCGATGGGACAAGGCCACAATAAAACTGTGTTCGACCGCGGATCTACCACACCCGATGCTGAATTATACCTCCCAGGAGTTGCACCCGAGAGACCAGGAAGGGGAACTCGACCGAGAGGAAGGAAGGCGCCCTCATCCACGCCAGTCGTGGCGAAAAAAAGAAAGATCATATAAGACACCGCGGAGAAACGTCGCGCAGCGCGCACGCGCACACCTCAGAGAGGGAGGAGGAGGAGGAGGAGGAGGAGGAGGAGGAGGAGGAGGAGGAGGAGGAGGAGGAGGAGGAGGAAGTGGAGGGACAAGGAGGCCCCCCCCAAAACAAAACGAGGAGGCCACCCCCGCCCGCGGGACCGCGGGGGGCGGCCACGCCGCGGGATCGCGCGGGCGGCGGCCCGCCCCGGAGCTGCCGAACAGGAGCGCGCGAACATGGGGGGGGGAGGGCGCGCGCGCGCGCGAGGCCGCCGCCGCCCCCGCGCCTCGCCCGGGGAAGCCCCGTGAGGCCCCCCAAGGGAGGCCCCAAGAGGCGCCCAAAACGCGCCAAAGAGGCCTCCAAAAAAAAACAAAGATACGCCGCACGAGGCCCCAAGAGGCCCCCAAAAGGCGCCGAAGTGCCGCCTCCAAGAGGCCCCATGAGAGGCTCCCCGCGACATCCCAACACAGATACAAGAGGCCTCAGACCCACAACCCAGACACGGTGGCGGGATGGGCTGAAGGCCACTAGGACAACACGAACGCCTGGTCAAACCAGAAACACAAACGGGTCGGCCCCAGAACCAGAAAAGCTTGGGGCGCCACCGGGCCACTCCCAGAATCGACATGCAGAGGTGCGAGCGCTTCTCATGGCGCCTAGTCTGCGACCATCAATCCTGGATCGGTTGCCGCTGACAATACTTGCACAAAAAATGGCACGGCGGCCCGACTTCCCCCTCGCCCGCGGGGCGTCGCCCAGCAAGAAACAGCCCCCGGTTCCACCGGGGCCTCTCGCCATAAAGAGCGGGCACAGGGAGGGAGCGGTCGAACTGGATGTGCCCGGGCACCCCCGCGCTATACATTCCACGTCGCGCGCGCAGGGCGATCCCCCCAGCCGCCGCCCTATGGCGACGTCCACGAGCCGACCCAGGCGGGGCAATTCCTCTGCAGAGGACTCGCTGGCGCGGTGGCTTGGGCGAGGGAGGGTCGCCTTCTTTGGACGTCAAGCCTGGGGCGCTTGGCAGCACGCGGCGCAGAGGCTGGGCCTTCGCGATTGCGGGCGCCGCGGGCCGCCCGCGCGATGGCCCGCGCCACGCCGCCGCCGTCTGCGGCCCGCCCCTGCTCTCGGGAGGAACAGGCAACGAGGGCGAACCGAACGGTCGAGAACCCTAGCGGGGGCCGCCGCATCGAGGCCGCATTTCCTCGGGCGCTTGCCGCCTCAAACTATCGTTCGCGCTATCGTTGCTTCAATGACCGAATGGGGCCCGCGGCGGTCGCCCACCCCCCCTGGGACTTTCGGGCCCCTTGTCCGAATTGCCCCAGGCTCCAGAGCTCAACTCGAAGATCAGGTCACGAGCTCAATCCAGCGCCCCCCTCGGCCCCTTCGAAGCCGCGCGAACGTCGTCAGCTGCCGCGGGCCTGGCGGCGCAACTCCCCCGGGCCCCCCGAACTGACGCCGCCTGGGCAAAGGCCCGAAACCACGATGGCGCGATACACTTCAAGCGCAAGACATCACGCACATCGGCCCCCCAAACGAACGCAGGTCGCGAAGACCACCTCGAAGCGCCTGCCGAACTAAGGGGGGCGCCCAGGCTTCACCCCGAGCGCCGCGGCAACTCGCCCCCCCCCCTGGAGAAGCGACGCGATCCGCCCTGCGGCGGCGGGCCCTGGCGCTCACGACGCACGACGACACGCGCTGCGAAATCCCCCGGCGAGCGGCGGAGGCGCACCATGACCGCCAAATCCGCATCCCACGGGTGACAGAATGGCTCGTCGCGCACACATTGAAACAGCTGGAGCGACCCCCTTAAAAAAAGATGCGCTCGGGCGGGCATCGCCACTCGAAGCCGAGATAGCCCAACATTTAGCGGCTCGCCTGACGAAGTCTTCATCCCAAGGGCCTCCAAGGCACTCAACATGAAACCCCATGGGCCCGAGCTTCTGGCCCAATTACTGGCGGCGCCCATTTTGTGCCCGGCTGGCAGAAGACCAGTTTGGCGCGGGGCTCCTACCACGAGTCGAAATTCAGCGCGCGTCGTGCAACGCATGTTCTGACATCGCCGCCTGCCCCCACGGCGGCGCCACGAGCGAAGGCAGCCACGCTGCGCGAGGCGCGCGACGCGCACCCCCATGCACTGCCAAACGTGACGAAAGCATGATCGATAAAGGCCCGACGATGGCTATCGAGCAATCCAAAGGCGCCCCGCGACTGGGCCAGACGGAGCCCGAATAGCTCGATGCCCCCCCCCCCAAAAAAAAAAAAACATCGAACACATACACACGCGCATTGCAGGTTGATGAAATGACCCTGGGCGCCCGTGCCGAAAGCTAGCCTTCGCCAGACGTCCGCAGCATATCTTGGCAGAGGCCTTCTCCACATACCAGCGCGAACGGTAGCTCGCGCAAATGCCTTGCCACCAGACGCCACTGCAGCTTCAACGAGGTCTCTGACGGTCGCGCACGCGGTGGACTTCTGCGCGCCATGAGCTAGGGACGGACAGACGAACCTTCGCGCGCAAGCTCTTACCCACTCGACCCTCGCTTTCCATGGCAGCAAGGCAGCAAGGCAATTGGTCGGCAACCTCCAATGGCTTTTTGCCAACAAAACGGAGAACTTGCGCGAAATGTTTGGCGACCGGGCTGCCCGCGCATCGCGGCGAAAACAAAGAAAAGGAAGCACTTGGCCTGGCAGCGACGAGCCAGCAGTCGACAGAAGTGTTCACTGCCTCGGTCGAAACGCATAGTCAGCGGTGGCGGGCAAGCCCCACTATCCAAGCTCAACAGCTTCACCGTGAACATGACGTCGCCATCCCGAAACAAGCTGCCTGAAAAGTCTGAGTACTGCTGCTTTGCCGCGCCTTTCTCCAACCGGCCTGTTGGGCATCAACGGCATCCCCTTGGATGTTTCAGGGGCACTTGCTAGTGCTCGCGCGCGTGAGCAGCCCCGCATCGGGGCTTCGGCCGTCTGCGCGCGGGGCCGGGGCGGGCGCTCAACAGACGGCGATGCCGAGCAGTGAAAGACTCGACCCTGGCGGCCCCGAGCACCTCTCCCCTGTCTCAGCACTCGAACTAGCACTTCGCCCGGAATCTGCGGCGCGCGCCCATGGAATTCCCCGGCGGAGCTGGGGGCGCCGCTGATAATGCGCCCTTGCCCCATCAGGGCGCCCCCAGGGGAGCGCGCGCATGCTGCGCAGCCTGCCGCGCCCGCGCCCTGCGACGCAAAAACGCGCGCATCTCTGGACGCGATGAGCATGCGCCCAGTCGCGCGCGCCTCATGTCCCGGGCCCCCATGCGCCATGTCCCCGATGCTCCCGAGCGCGTTGCGCCGGCAGGTTGCCGCCCAGCCGGGGCCCCCGCTCCTCCACCCCCCGCCCTCCATCCGCAGTCGAGTTGCAGCGCTGGGGGCCCCGCCGCCGACCACGCAACGCACCTCGCCCGGAATCGCCAACGCTGGCAAGGGGGGGGCAGCTCAGCCTTCGCACCGTCAGAAACTCGCGGCGCTCGACGCCCTCGAAGCCGTTCGAGGGTTCTCTTTCTCTCTCTCTCTCTCTCTCTCTCTCTCTCTCTCTCTCTCTCTCTCTCTCTCTCTCTCCCTTTTTTTTTCTCTCTCTCTCTCTCTCTCTCTCTCTCTCTCTCTCTCTCTCTCTCTCTCTCTCTCTCTCTCTCTCTCTCAAGATCTCTGTCCACGAGAATGAAAGAGCACCCTGGGAAATAGAAAACGCCCCCTGCCAATCACCCTCCCACGCATCTGAAACTACTCCAGCCACTGGATCGGCAGGCATTACTGTTGGACCCATCAGCCCCCGAACCTGACGCGGCCTGCGCCGAGGCCGCGCAGGGGCTCCAATCGGCCCCCCGCGGGCGAAGCTCCAAGATGCTCGGATCCGCCGCAACTAACTTTCGCAGGGCAATCACTGGACATCGGGTAGCCGAGAAAACCGATGTTGGAAGTCTCCGGGCCACTGTAGGCCAGCGCCATGGTCAGCGCAGATGAGGCAGACCCGGAATGCATCTTGCACCCCTGCCCCCTACAACTTTTCTGGCGACAGCCGTGCCCCTTGGACGAAGTCGCCAAGGAAGGTGGCCTCGATGCGCGGCCTAACAAAGACGCCGACACCCGCGACGCACCTGCAACGTTCTGGCATGATTCCGTCGCTGAGAAAGGGCTGCCAACCATGTGAGACACACAAAATCTCCTTCGCGCAAGGTCCGCACTCACGCAGCTGACGCTTCAGAACTTCGACAAGCGCGCGAGCAAGAAGTCTCTTAGAAATGCTCGATCTGCGGCCAACCAGACCGTTCAAACATTCCGACCTGAAATCCTTCCTGCGCCCTTGCCCCGGAGTTCGACGATGTGCTTTGTGACCTCGATCGTGGACGCCCCGAGCGCAAACTCAATTAAGACGCTGCCCTGATAAATCTGGGACGCCATTGAACCTGGCAGAGCCAGGGTTGGCAGAACAGTGGCGACGCCGAACCTGGACGAACAGGGATTTGGCAAAACTGTGGCGACACGGAACCTGGGACGAACCAGGAATTTCAGCACCAGCACCCCAAAGACTGACGCCAGCTGCCTGCCCATAACCAGCTGACCAGTCGTTGGTGCGACCCCTCGGGCTGACGGCAGGCTGTCCAGGAACGTCACGCGAGACAGACGAGCTCGGAGAACTCGCGCCTAGCTCATGCAGAACACCTCGAAGCCCAGACTGTCCTTCCCACCTCTGCAGCTCAGGTTGACGATGTACACCAGCGTTTTCCACGAGCTGACCACCGAACCTGGCGACGCCATCGAACTGATTGGCCACGCACTGAATTCGCCCGGGCATCAGATGTCAGTAAGCCCCGTCGGCGCTACCCTACGCTGTCGACCCCCATCCGCGGTTGCGTCCACTGCCTGGCCCCGTGCATGCACAAACGTGAATTACACTGGTGTTGGCGACCAACGCTGCCTTTTGACCATGCATGGCTGCCTGGATATCCGTGGCATGATTGGCTAGAGACTCGGAAAGCGACTGGCTGCGATCTGAAGTGACCAGTGCTGGCGATGCCACACCAAGTGATGCACTCGCCCGAACAAGTTGTGGTTGGCGAATACCGCCGATCTAGACAAACTGACTCCCACCACGATTTGATCAAGTTCACCTGCGACTTGTATAAAGATATATAGTCGAGCTCAGACTGAAGATGCTCACCTTGCTAACTTGGTACGCACACCTCCGTTCGCTTTGCGATCTGCCTGTCCCAGGACCTACACAACAAGTCGTCGGATCGTCGGCTTGCCAACTCGGTCTTTCTGCCTCCGCGAGCTGCTCCTTTGCGGCGGCAAAGAGAGGACCTGTCTCATCCAAGCCGAACCTCCATAAGGCTGCCAGCACTTCTCGAGCTTTGGTAATCTCGTCAACCACAACACGTTGCCCGTCAATAGATGCCCCGTCGGATGCGGTATCAGGCCGGCCTGTGTCTCGATCCTCGGGGGGTCTGGGTACCTGATCCAAATCTGGCGAGCGAGCCCCTGTGCGTGGGCTGGTCGTTGGGGTAAGGCTGACCTGCCTAATCTCGTCCGCACATGTAGCACGTGGGATTGTTTAGAAAAGTACGAGCGAACACACACACACACACACACACACACACTCACACACACACACTGCCGAGTAGCAGCACAAACCACCTGACCCATCAAGAAACGAGGGACACTCGAGCCGTGGTGATGTCGAAGCAGCTGCCCATGCAGCGCCGAGACGAGGACAACCTCTGGCCCAGCCCCCTGCGGCGTCTGAGCCGCCCGTGCCGCGCGGGCTGACGTGACCTTGACCCGGCCGTGTGTGATGCCCCCCATCGGGCTGTGCCGGGCGGCCAAAGAGGTGTGCGAGAGAGAGAGAGAGAACAAGTCAACCAGAGTGCCACAAGGTCAACTAGCCCACCGTGCTGGGCAGGGCTGGCTCGAGCACCCTGGCTATCGCGCGCGCAAGAGCACGGGCCAGGGTCGCGGCTGCCGGGCTGCCCGGACAAGGATCGTCTCGGGCAACAACGCCTTGAGCGAAAGAGGCTACAGAGAGAGGAGGGGAGAATCAGGAGGAGGAGCGGAAGTGGTTTGGGAGGAGACAAGTAGGATGGGAGTGGGAGCGGGAGCAAGCAGACCGAAGCAGAAAAAGAATGACGGCACCTTCGTTCGGAATGTGTTGTCGCTCCTGGTTCGAAGATGCATCCTTTGTGTTGCTTCGCTTGGCATTGCTTCGTTTTGGTTCGCGTTGCGTTGCGTTGAGTTGCTTGATATTGCATTGCGTTGCATTGGGTTGCATTGCTTGTCGTTGCTTGGAATTGCGTAACATTGCTTGGTATTGGTGTGCATCGCTTAGCCATTATTTTGACCGATTGACATTGCGTGGCATTGATTAACATTGCTGCGCAGTGACTTGCATTGCTTTGCGTTGCTTGGTATTGCTGTGCATGGATTGGCTTTGCATTGAATGGCATTGTTTTGCATCGCTTCGCATAAATTGGCATCGCTTGGCATGTCCCTACATCACTTTGCATGACGTTGCATGGCGTGGCAACGCTTGGCAATGCTAGGCGTTGCTTGGCATCGCGTGGCAATGCTTGGCATTATGTGCAATGTACGGCAATCTAAACAATAAAGACGCAAGACAAAAAGACCCCGGGGAACCCCGATGGGTAATGATTGAATGCCCGCCGTTCAAAGCAGACAAGAAACACAACTTCAACAACCCGTGGATCCGAGGGAACCCCGAGGACTTCCAAGCGAAAGAAACAAGACCAGGGAACCAAGACCAATGAACCCCAGGGAAGGCGATCGACGACAGGGCCCTGCACCATCTGGGGCTTCATACACAAATAAGGACCCCTGTGGCAAAGCCTCGTTGGGCAAATACACCGTACGCAGCAAGCAGAACGCGTATGCGTGGTTAGCTCGGACACTGTCTCCAAGAACTCCTCGAGCGAGAAACCATCTGCATGTCCCATTGCTCGGGTTGGACCTGCCGCCGTGCAAAGAGCCCGATGAAACGACGCCCAAAAATCCCACCGGCCCCCAGGGAGGACGGTCAGAAACTTGTGTTTATCGTGTCGCGGCAGCGGCCCTGGCGATACGCTATGCACTGGGAGCAGATAGTGTGTCGCTCCTGTCCGTGGTGCGCGAGGCTGGGAAAACTAGAAGCGCTGACGCGCAGGAACCAATTGAGAGATGGACAGCGTGTCGCGCGGAAGCGCAGTGGGCCAGAACCGGCGGCGATACACGCTAAGCCAAAGTTCCTGACCGTGGGTGGTTCAGAGCGTTTCCTCTTCCAATCCCCTTCTTCCCCTTCGGGGAGCGTTGCATCACTTCTCCACAACCCCTGCTCCACCCGACCAGCAGCCAACCCGGACCCATGAGCCCACCCGCCCCACCAACCCTGCGGAAAGGCCATACAAGATAGACTGTGCCTAGAAATCTGGAGAATGCGAGGGCGCCCCGCGACCACTCTGCACTCACTTTCGACAAGGACGGCGGGGGGCCAGCAGACTGCCTGCTGTGTGCCGTGCCAGCGCCCCCCCACCATGCCTGTGAAGACCATGCGCAGCACACCTGGCGGCAGAACCCAAGGTCATGCTCGGGGAGCCCGCGAGCACCTTGCAGCGCTTTGGCCGCAGGGACGGCGAGGGTGCAAGCATGCGCCCTGCCGCGCAAAGGCTGAGTACGGACCATGCGCGGGCACCCCGCGATCATGTTGCATGGGTTTTTGACAAGGACGGCGGGGGCGCTGGTTGTGTGCAGTCCCACCAAGACATCATGATAGCCACTCCGCCGCGAATGTTCAGCGGTTCCCAGCAAAGACGGTGGAGGCCGCCATGTTTCGCGACGTGCGCGAGCGCACCTGGCACACTCTGCGCGTGCCCCGAACGTGGCGTACCTGACGCGGCTGTATCGTGCTGCACACTTGGCACACTTGGAGCACGTGACACATTTGGCGCATCAGGCGTGCCTGGCACGCTTGCGCCTCAAGGGCGCCTGACGCGCCTGGTGCGCGTGGCGCGCCTGGCGTGCGTGGCGCTTCGTACTGGCTCCCAGTAGCTACCCATCGAAAGGCGACCGCTGAGTATGATGAAATTCGGCAACTACTTTTTTGGAAGCGGGCGGATGGGAGTGAGCCAAACAGTTTGCAACTGGGATGGGTGTCTTGATCACAATTCCACCCCCTCCCACAGGTGAACGGCAGTCGACCCGGACGAATGAGGACCCCCCACTTGTACAAAAAACGAGACATGCACCGTGCCTCCAAGTTTGGAGCATTCGCTGGCGCCCCGCGACCACTTTGCATTGGTTTTGATAGGGACGGCGGGGTTGCCGCATATCGCTTGCTGCGCAAAGACCAGCAACCCCTGTTCAAAAATACAACATACATCTTGGTTTTTAATCTGGAGCGTACGCAGGGCCCTCTTCTCTCTGGGCTCTTATATGTTTCTCGACTCCTCAAGATTCAATTAATCCATCGGTGTCGGTGCTTTGCGATCCCTTGAAGAGCCGCCCTTCTCACGGAACGATCGGCAATTCGCTCTAGGGGTGTTCGAGATCCTGAACTCCTTGGGGCCAGGGTCCCCGGCACCTGAGAACCCGATTGGGACCCCGTAGCTGCCGCATCTGGCGCGGCTGGAGCACGCCGTACAATTGGCGCACGTGGAGCATGTGCCGCACCCGGCTCGCTTGGGCCTCCAGGGCGGCTGGTGCACGCCTGGAACCCGTGGCGCCTATAGCGCTCCTGGGCAATCTGCTGAAACTCGGGTGTCACTCTTTTTGTTTTTCCTCCGTGGTCGCCTGCACGGCCGGGCCAGAACGTCTAGCAGCTTGGCTAGCGTATGGCGGGGTCCTCCCGCGACCTATTTATGGTGTTGCATTACAAGACGCTCCTACAAGCCCGACGAATAAGAAAACACCAAAGAGAGCCAGTCTCTCCTCAGGCCAGGCCAGCGCGGGGAGGGGAGGAG